AATATTCTTTCTACACTTTTCTACTTGTAACAAACTGTATTGGCTTCCAAACAGCATCTTCTGGCAAATCATATTAAACCTACTCCAATATTCTAATCCCATAAAATTCATGTTCATATGAAAAGAACGAGGAGTACTTGTGGCACGTTAGAGACTAACAAATTTATTTGGACATCTTTTTGCTGATACAGACTAATACAGCTACCACTCTGAAACCATGTTCCCATACAGGGGCTAGTGGGCATTGCATCAGCAATGGAGGTGTTTTTTCTTTAGATATCGCATTAGAACCTATCATGGTACTGATTCAGTACATATTAAGCAATGTAATAGCACAGTACTTCACAGGAAAACACTATATTTGGATTAGATGACTGTTATCTGAAAGTGTGGCTCTAAAGTGCAGCCAAGCAGATCAAAGCATGGAGCAGAGGAACTGTAAAAGCACTTGCCATTTGAATCATTCTGTGAATTGGTTGGTCGATGTGACTTCCTTTTTATATCAATTTGCCTCCATGACATCAATGGTAGCGTTTGTTTCTGAAACACTCTCTACATAATCTAGAAATAGGAATATAAAATGAAATGTCTAGTGATGTAGTACCAGGCTAACAATGGTTCAAAAACATAGTAAACCAAGGTCAGTTGTTGATATCCCCTCCAGCATGCAAACCTTTTCAGAAGTGGAATGGATCAAGAAGGGTGATGAGTTATGAAAGTCTAAGGGAAAAAACAACCTTGGGGATATAGTTTGTCACTAGAATCTTGTCAGTGAAATTAAACTGCATTCTGCAGATTGACCTCTTTGCCATACTGAACTTTTCTTCCTTTCTTGGCCAAATAGTGATGCAGACCTTTCAGGCATTTTTTTTAACCTATTTAAAATGTCATGCAGAGGTAAAGCAAAAGAGGCTTGCCCTCCACCTCCCTTTGCTTCTTTCAAAATGATCTACTTTTGCTGACCCTTCTATTTTATTATAGAATACATTTGCTAGAGGGAATATTAAACCTAATCAGGTCCTCAGGAAATCTGTAATGTGTCAGTTTCTGTGGTAAGAGAAATCTGCTGCAGATTCAGAAACGTCTGTGACACCAATGTAGAATAATATTCGGCAGAAGTCACCACGTAGCTGCAGAACAGGATATATGGTTTCTCAGTTCCCTGGCTATGTAGTCGATTACTCAGTGTTCAAAATACTATTTTTTTTTAAACACCTTTTTTGATGAGCTCCTACAAGTCCTAGTGGGAAGGGCTGTCCTGTTAGGATTCATGTAATGCCTGTGATATAAATAACACTGCTCTACAGCCAAAATGCTTCTGAAATAAATGTAGTCAAACTTTACTAATTCTGGGTCACTGAGAACGAAAATGATGCTTAAAATTGTTGATTGGCTCTAGTTTTCAAGATATGCTATTGGGTCAGTATATACGACCCTTGACTTGGGAATGGCGGAGGATAAGTGAGTTATAAAGGGAAGGGATCTCAATTTAAACCAGAAATGACTAAAATACATCTTTGACTGGATCTATGAATAAACCTATGACTGGGTTTGGATAGTACTTGCTTTTTTAGGCAAAACAATGAATGATGCAATCTGAAGCTGGTATTGCATCATACATGATATGAATTGCATCATGTTATTCCTAGAAGTCATGGATGATGCAATCATAACGAAGCTTACATCACTCTGCTGAACAAATGGCCCTATATCAGCTCTAGAAATCCTACAGTGTCATGCTTTCTTATTTGTCAGTGTTTGATTTTGCAAAGGGACACATTTCTGTTTAGCCAAAGTGAGCAGAGATGCCTCATACTTGTGTGAACAGTGCAGATAACTTCTATGTTTGTGGTGAAGTGACTTTTGCATCACAAAAGCGCAGTATAACTACTATGGTTAAGAAAGCCTATCACCTTTATTTTGGCTGCAAAATTGGAGATCAGGACAAGAGATGGGCCCCACACATATGCTGCAACACTTGTGCAACAAATCTTCGCCAGTGGTTGAACAGGAAAAGGAAATCTATGCCTTTTGCAGTGCCAATGATTTGGAGAGAGCCAACAGATCATACCAGCAATTGTTACTTCTGCATGGTGCCTCCAGTTGGGAAAGGTGTGTCAAAGAAGAAAAAGTGGACTGTGCATTATCCAAACATTCCATCAGCTATACGCCCAGTACCCCACGGAGAAGGACTGCCGGTTCCTGATGCACCTCATTCTCACTTGAGTCAACGAG